TTTCCTGTCTGTCTCGTGTAGCCAGACAAATCACATTGGCTCAAGATTTTATCTGGAGAATCACGTCGCATTGTGAGTTCGGAGGGCAGAGAGCATGCACTGACAAAAATACACACATTAATTAATATCTGAAACGTTTCAAGGGCAGAACTTCTTTCCTAGAGTGCAGAAAAATCAATTATATGTGCTAATTTAATAAATGAAGAAGCCCACATGAATTCCACACATTCCAAAGCAGAGCAATCTTTTTTACCACATTGAAAATGGAGAGAAAACATTGTGGCTGACCTTAAAGATGTGAGTTTTTCAACTGGAAGGTATTTCCCCTTTTATTAATCTGGTTTCACTTATGCTTTAGAAAACCTCTGTTTTTATTATGAAACAAATCTTGTCCAAATCCAAACCTGACCTGATATTATCAGTCCCAAATTGAATTTGTGCCCACAGAACGTCACAGAAAGCTCTGCAGAACTGGCATATCTGTCGTTCTCAAACTTCTACACATCCCTAGCCTTTCAAATGTGTGTTTAGTAGGTATTTGGCTACTTTCACCATGCTAACAGTTACCAATAAGAGCTTAGCACTGTCAGATTTTACAGCGCAATTACCATTCCAATGATTTTCATTCCAAATCAGTGCAGAAGTCTGCAGGTTTTGGGCCTGCATGTCAGTATGTGAATTTACAAGTTCATTAAAAGTAAAATTTTAGTCAGATCAATGGAATAATTCATATTTTTAAAATGTCATTTTGATTAAGCTCTGTGTTCGGTGTAATAAACATTATACTTTCAGTGTGTTACTGTTACCTCACAAAGTCTAGCTGATTTTCATAAATATCGGCATTTCGTTAAAATGCACTCATTGAGACATGACTGCAATAAACCTTAAAAGAAATCTTTCTTTTACTACAAAATCTGTTCAAGGTTATTCATTTACTTTCTAACCGTTTTGCCAGGAGCTTATGCTAAGCAGCCTTTTTACTATGCAAAGTGTGAGCCATAGAGAATAATTCTATACAAGGTAAGTGATTTGACAGTTTACTGCGTTTTAAAGCTATGCCAAGCATCAAATCTCATCGAGATGCATCGACAAGCTTTACACCCAAAACACAAAAATACTCTCAGTGAAGCTGTGAATCTTCTCCTCTGTAGATCCGACCTAAGTTTGTGAATGGGTGTGCAATGCATATTCATTTTGAACTGAGGTAGGTTACTGTATATGCATTAAATATACCACAATAACAGTCACTAGATTGTTTCAGGTCTGTTTGTAATTTATTATCATTTCCATTCAAAGATCATGCGAGTTTTGAAATGCACCAATGCATCTGTGTTTGTTCATTGCTTGTTGTGCACAGGGATCATTGTTCAAACACTGAATTTGATGTTTGTTTCTGTGCAGCTGGCCACTCCAGCCCTATCCAAATTTGTGGGCTGTGTTCTCAATCTTTCGCACCCCTAGGATACACCGCATAACTGCCGACTGTTATGCGCAGAAGTGGCAAAATTTTTTTTTATTTTTATTTCTTTTTTTAAATGTTAAAAATCTAAATAGATTTAGGTTAAAAAGGAACGTCATCCAGCAAACTGATCAGAAAATATCTACTTTTACAGAAGATTGCTCATGGTTAGCATTATAATTTTGATTAGATACTTAGAAATGGTGCAAAATCTCAAATATTTCTTATTTATTTTACATCATAACGATACCGAAAACTGATTATTTACATGTTTAGATTTCGATTCCCTAAGTTTCTACGTCTGCATGTTTTTGAGGTGTGTGAGCATTTTACCGCTGCCTGTTTTCAATGTGTAGGAATTGTAGAACAGAGGAAATAACAATGTTCAGAATGAAAAACAGAAACATCTGCCGTCATGCATATTTAAACATGGTGCTCTTCCTAACCACTCAGCTTTATGAGTGTGCACTCTGGAGGGACGTCTCCAATTACTGTCCTTTATTTCTCCTGCTCACCTCCAGGTACACAACTCACACTCGACCATTCAATACCAACTCGCTTTTTTTGAACGAACCAAGCGACATTATTATTTTATCACAAACACTCTTGCGTTAGCCATTCAATTAGCCCGGCAACATCTTCCTGGTGGCATACATTAGTCATGCCTCCTCTGAGCCAACTAATGATGGCAGAATCGAGATAAATAGAGAGAGAGAACTCTCTTCCTCCTCGTTTTTCTTGACTGAGTAGTGGCATCCTTCCTGTGCTCTACTGGATTAAATCTCAATAATGGCATTAAAGGTGGGATAAAACAGAGAGCCGAACGGAAAACCCCAAGAAAGCCAAAATAAGGCACCACAACTTCCTCATTAGCCCAAGAGCTCAGCCAAGCTCTCCCAGAAGACCTTCCCCTCTCACAGTCTTTCTATTTCTCCCTCTCTCACACACACACACCCAACAATCAAAATAGGCTCTAGTGTACAGAGTGTCTAAGGAATGAGAAATAAAGCGCTGAGGTGCAGGATTAAACTAATCCCTATGGTCTTTCACAGTCTGAAGGAGAGAAAAATTTGCAGATGAAAGGCCCAAAAAATCAGGTGATGTACCCCTGCATTGAAGTTACACAGACAGACCTGCAAAAAATCTTCTTTTTTTAAATATATTTTTGTGCTGTTTTCCAGTAAAAGTACGTAATCATCTTCAAAACAAGATACATTCACATGAGAGGAAAAATTTTGTAAGATATGTGGGTTATTTTAAGTGAAATAAAATGCCATTGCCACCGTATTCTTAATTAATTAATTAATTTCAAATAATTTTATATATATATCTCAATAGTTCCCCAGAGGTGTGACTATATATAATTTTTGAGTTTCAATTGGGTTACCAATTTTAAAGTTTCCTAAATATTAATTTTAGAATGTGTTAGAATTTGGTTGGTCCCCGGTAAACTCCGCAAGTTTATGAAAAACCTTACGACAATCTTATACAGCATGATTTGAGAATAAACTCAAAAGCTCATTTGACTCTCAGTCCCACATTTTCGAAGTTGACTTTCATACACTGCTGCATATAATGTTTATTCCCCATCTGGCAAATTTTTTTTGTCTTGCTTTAAGTATAAACCTCACTAGATTTGGATAGATTTATGCTATGCCAATCCTACTATCTTAACATCTTTCTCGACCAAATGTTTCTTGTTTTACATAAATGTCTTTAGGTCTTTTACTGAAAAACAAGAAAAAATATGGTTTAAGAGAAATTATTAGCAGTATACCACTGTGCGAGAGCAAAGCAAGGTTTTTAAACGTTCAAACAATCGCTTTATTCGCTCCTCTGAGCTCTCAATAGTTCACCAGCTTCTTTTCTCTTTGGCAGACTTACACAGTCATGCATGCTAGTTTAGGCTGGTCACACCACCAGCCTAAACTAGCATGCATGACTGTGTAAGTCTGCCAAAGAGAAGAGAAGCTTACAACAAAAAGATCTGTAGTGTAATGGACTCTGATAGATCTGTATTGGAATATAGTCAAACCAGCCATCTGGCACCTTGTCTGTCTGACAGCGTATTTTATCAAGCTCTGCTTTCAACACGTGTGACAGCACTGTGGTGGGGTTACGCGATGGGAAGGAATCGATACGACGGGCCGGGACCGACACACACAGAATGAGAGTGAGGAAGAGAAGAACATGTCAACATCAAATTTACAGGTCTGCTGTACTCTAATTCCTTTTATTTAATTATATTTCTTACTGACCTGTTTAGATAGAAAGTAAACTGTTTTACAAAGGAGATTCAGCACCGAATCATCTCACGTAGGCCACTGTAGGTCTGTGCAACAGATAGATTTCTTGTAGACTGTTGCCCCCCTACAGCTATTTAAAGAGAAACATAATTGCACAGCGGGGCCCTTTGTTCCCAAAGTATCTCTGACAAGCGCTCCCTTTCAGTGCCACATTTACTCCACTGATATAGTGTAAAGCAGCACCAGATGTACTTGTTTGGGGCCAGATGATTGCCCTCACAGATTTCACATGCACAACTGCCTACTGGTAAAACCTAGGGGTTGAAAATCTTTGCAAATCATTAAAGGGATAGTTCACCCAAAAAGGAAAATTTGATGTTTATCGGTTTACCCCCAGGGCATCCAAGATGTAGGTGACTTTGTTTCTTCAGTAGAACACAAACAAAGATTTTTAACATAAACCGTTGCAGTCTGTCAGTCATATAACGGAAGTGAATGGGAATCACGGCTTTCTATCCTGTAGCTAGCACCTGTCTTCTACTCTTAAAGAATTCATATTAGCAAATTAAGGTATTAATATATTTTTTTAAATCATTAAAAAAAATCTTACCAAGCCCAAACCTTTGAAAGGTATATGACTATTTTATTACTGAAAGCAATCATAAACTATACACACTCACTGTACATTTTACAGACATGGCTCTTCTACATATTAGCAGATGAAGGTTTTAATATGCACTCGCAAGACGGACTATTAATACAGTGTACACCATGTAGGGTTAAAACAGGTACTAAAAAGGTGTACTTTTGAGGGTACTGATAGTGACAAGCCTCAAAGATACTATTTATTTTTCTTAACAGTACACACCAGTGGGCTGATAAGATGTGCAAAAAAATTTTGTAATTAAAAAAAAAGGGTAGATCTGCTTTTAGAATGGGCTCAAATCGCACAGATCCCATATTCTATTTTTGCAGAATATATGTTCTAATGTCTTTTAATTCAAATGGAATTACTACTAGCCTACATGTTGCAGTCTGTAATAATACTAATTTAACTGTCAGGATAAGTACACACGTTTTGAGTTAATTATTTTTGAATTAAATCACTTGCAGTTCAGAGAGCGAGTCAAATGTTCATTCAGTGCCTGCTCTGAAGAATTCAGTGAGTTTACCTCAATTAAAGCCTCAGTTCATTGAATAATTAGCAACCCGATTCAAAACAGACAAACTTGCTAGAACAGTAAGCGCGCAAAGGCGCACGGGCGTTGGAGAGCGTGTTGAGTGAGGTCTCTTACCGGAGCAGTTCCACCCGGTGGGTGTTTGACAGTCGCTCAGCGATGATGGGAAGGCGCAAAGTTGCTTCACTGGTAATATACAAAAAAAGCAATATATTGTAATTAAAACTACATGTGTCCGATTCTCCTGTCGCGGTCTGCGTGTCTGTCGCAGCACAGCGCAAATTTTACTCGACCTAATACGTTAACTGGTTTCTCCAAACGTACTCGTTACCTTTGTGACTGAAAAACAAATGTAATCTGCTCGCGGATGTCCGATTCGCGAACGAATTGTTTGAATGAATCATTTGAGTCGACTCTTTTACATTTACCTGTCACGCGGGTTCGTAAAGCGGTCTGAACAGTTCGTTTTGTGAATCGCGAATCTGAATCAAATCACAAGACTTTGGAACACGCAATGGGTCGAAGAGACTATTCGTGTAAGCTTGAATCTTTTTAAAATATAAATTAATTTGATACATTGTCGGCCTGATCAGTTGAAGCGTTATGAAAAACTGTTTGATTTGTTCATGTGACGGAAAGCTACCACAGAACTGTTCATATTTGTGTTAATAACTACATATTAGCAGTGATATTTAGCGTGTTCGAAGCAATACAAATGACATTTGAGCCATATGTTTAATATAAGAATCTTGGGAGTCTTACATGTCTGCAAAACTCGTTTAACCTGTAATGGAGCAGTAATCAGTCGGGTATAAAATGAGAAAACAACATATCATTTTTTTTTAGTGCAACGATAATATAGTTTATAAAATATAAACACATGTTAAACAGTGTCACAATAAAACGATATTTTGTGTGTGCTTGCCCCAACAAAATTTCAGAGATGCTAGAATGTTCTGGGTAGGGTGTTGCTACGCAGTTGCTAAGGTGTGCTCAGAGGTTTTTAACTAATTTATGCTGTGTCTAGGGTGTTCTGGGTCATCCCGCAGGGTTAAGCAATAATAATAGTGATAACTGCCTTCGCAAGCACCACTAATTATAAAACCAGCTGTTGCAATGCATACTGGGAGAACATGCATCATGCTGTATGTCACTTATATTGCATGCAAGGTATTATTGTTGGAAACTCAACCAGTCATGCATTGTCCAGAGCACAGGGACACAAAATATTTGTATGTGTGTGTTATAATTACTATTTCAGGTGTGTTTCAATATAATTGTTTTTGTTTGCTTTATTATTTTGTTTTGCATCAGAGAGTTACCGATCAACATTCACTAACTTATACAGCACTACCAAACTCTTGATCATCGAAGCCAGTGCTGGTTCCGGCCTCCGGCATATGTACTTTTCTTCTCCCACCCCTGTGTGTCCCGTCAAACATCTAAATTAATTGCCACGCATGAGCTTGCGTACTTCTCTGTGTATCATTTCACGAGCGAGTGCTGAGTGAAGCGGCATGTCATTCATAATTATCTGCCCGTCAGATTGAGAACAGAATAAGCAAAGCACACACTGTTCACAGCTCTCCTCTCCTGTCACACCCAGTTGGTGTTTGTTCTCAGGATATGGACGCAGGACTCCGTCAAACCTTTAAAGTCAATTAAATTCAGTACCCATCGATTCACTTCAGCGCCACTCAGATTTTGCATTAGGCCTACTTGTTTTCTCTAGATTCTGCTCCAGTTTTATTTTTAATAACCCTGATAACGTAGGCTAATAATCTTGGTTACTTTCAGAGAGGTATTACAATCATTATAAAGAGCTATATCCTTGACCAGATTCTTAAACTTTTTTCAACTTGCTGACCACTTACCTTACCTACCACAGTAAATGACCAACTTCCTGAAACCTACAGTTTTACAGTAAGTAGTGTCCAAATTATCCCTCGTTTATACCCAATGTCTGAAATAGCTTTGCCATCACAGGAGTAAACTGCATTTTAAAATATATTACAATACTAAACAGTTATCTTTTATTATAATAATATTTCACAACATTACTGTTTTTACTGTATTTCTGGTCAAATAAATGCAGCCTTAGTGAGCATAAGAGACTTAAAAAAATATATAAAAAAAAATCCTACTACGCAAGGTATATGATCTTTTTTTTTACTGAAAGCAATCATAAACTATACATACTCACTGTACATTTTACAGACATGCCTCCAAAGTGGCAGACAATATTGAACAGATTTCTTCATATCCATATCCATATCGGGTACTGTATCAGATACCATATCAGGTGTGATTCTCAAACTGTCCTCTGACTCTGCATGAACAAATAAAAAATAAAATCAAGCCCCTTTGCTTTTCTTGCATGTAACTATAGAGACAGTAAAAATCCCAAAGAAAATATCAAACATGGCAACTCCCATAACTCAAATTCTTAAAATAATTGACAATGATATTTAATTAAAAAAAAGACAAACAAGTAAATGGCAACATCCACTCAATGCAAAGTAGTGAAATTATTTAATAGCAAAACTGCTACTACTTTCGCTAGATAAGAATATTGAACAAACACCAAAATACAGTTATGTTTAACTGTGAGTTATTGATTATTGAAGTGAGAAAACAAACGCTTTATCACCAATTAATGGTAACATTATCTGTTAATTCATTGATATGAGTTGATTAAGCAGTGGATTTGTTCAAATTTGTCAATCAACTCATGAAACATTTGGGATCCTTCATGGACCACAGTTTGAGAATCACTGTCGGAGTGTCAACTTGTTTTGGCCTAAATCCTCCGAGACTGGTTCTATTTGGGGCAGAAACACAATAGATGAAAATGTTACTGAAGAATTGAGGAAATTAAAGAAAACATGAGGAATTGAGGAAATTAAAGAAAACGTGATCACTGTAAGTTTATTTAAAAAGTCTCATACAATTTGTTCTCTCAAAATATATGATAATTAAACATTTTTAGTTTACAAGTATACGTTAGATCATAAAAGCACAAAATCAGTCGGTAACGCTTGGCCTACGGCCGTGGGTATACACAACTACCGGTTGTTCTGGGGCCTCGTAAGTGTTGGTTAGACTGATGGTAGATAACAAGAAAAAAAAACACTACTAGGAGTCTGATCTGATCATAAAGTCTTTCCGAGTCACAGGGCTCAAGTCCATGTCAAGTCTTGAGTCATTGCAGTCAAAGTCTAAGTCACGTTGCAAGTCATCAAATTTGGGACTCAAGTCCGAGTCAAGTCCAAGTCATGCGACTCGAGTGCACACACCCCTGGGTAATACTAATATAAAAACAGTGGACATGCATAAATAATCATGCTAATAAGCAGCCTTATAAATGTACCCATATTATATGGGCACGCTACATAGATCACATAGTCCGTAATAACGCTTCAAGTTCACCACATTATAAACATCAGTTCGAAGTGGGTTGCCCCAACACACTGTGTAATTTATTGGCCCTGTTTTATTTTTGATTTCAGCTGTTTTTTTTTCAAGCATCAGTCTAACCAACACTTACGGGGCCCCAGAACAACCGTTAGTCGTGTATACCCACGGCCATAGGTCGAGCGTTACAAGTCTTCTGTCATTAAATACAGTGGCTTGGCCACATTTCCCAAAAATATTGTGAACTTAAGTTGATCATAAAGACCATTGGTGATCTGTTACTCCAAAGTGCAAAACATATTTTGTCAAGTAACTTGTGAGGCATTGATTAAAATATAAATTACCTGGTTTTATTAAAGACAAAAATATTATTCGGCATGACTGACACAACCTGATTACATAGATCAGAGTACAGCTGGCATTGCTTTATCAGATTACTGCTGCACTTTATGTTCTATTTGACTTTTTTCTAATTATTTTAACAGCAGTCAACGGTTGGATTTAATCCTTCATTAGCATTAAGCCTCAGACTTATCCTCTTTCTCATTCCCTGTCTCTTTTCCCTTTGTAGATGTTTCACAGGCTCACAGCTCAGACCGGGTCATTGCACGTCCTGTTAGAGCACTCTGTGTTCCCTGCTCTCCATCCAGCTGTGCAGTAATGCACTTCTGAGCTGGTGGGATAGGACCGAAGCTCTGCTCAATAGCAGCAGGATTTTTTGGGATTGTATGAGGATATCGGCGAGGAGTGGAATCCGTGGTTCTTCAAGACAGCTCAGAGGTGAAGACAAAGAACGGAAGAGTGTTTGAGCTAATGGTGTGTGTCAGTGTTTGCGCAGACGGGGGAATGCAAGCATGCAGACTTGTGTATGATTGGATGCCTGTTGTGAGCGAGAAGGTGTTTTTCCTTTTCTTTTGTTGTGTAACCTGCAGTGTCAACTCACATGTCTGTTACTGTCTAACACAGCCAGTCGCCTATTTCAAGACTGTTTCAGCACAACAATTCCCACACAATTCAATTAACAGACTGAAAATAGGACTCCCAAGACTGTCTTTGTTACAGCGCTAATATGACTGCCAATGAGAGAATGTAGTCCGTTAAAAGATTCTCCTCCACTAATTCTCCAAAAAGGCCATATTCTAATTGTGGCTAAAGAGGCCTTTGTCTTACACTTCCCTTTGCACACAGAGCTCCGGTGTCCTCATCTCACATTGTCGGCACTCTTATTGTGTTCTTCAGATGAGCTCCTTTAATTGAGCTTTTCGCTAGATCACTTTAATTTAACTGGAAAGATATTTGCTTTCATTACTGGAATGAGTTTGGTCGGCTGAACTTGACCTTTGAAGTACTTATTTAGAGCCATGTGGTTAATTGAAAACTTTTGTAAAGCTGCTATGAAAGTAACGGCAACACATGCATAAAGAAAACATCTTTCCGGGAAGTATGCTCGTATTTGGTATGAACGGAAAGATTAGTGTTATCTGGTGAATATAAATGGAATATTTACGGGGTCGCTTCTGTTATGCAATGCATTTTGAATGGTAACTTTTACAAAATGAAAATGCTTGGCTGCATTTACAGTCATGGACTGACTGGGATTGACTGCATTTATTGACTATACTGTACGTGTCCACTGTGCAGAAAGAGAGGTGGGAGGGACAAAAACTTTATGCAGATCAGAGGCAGCCAATAGCTTTGGGGCAGTGATGTCTGTTACAAGTATACATTGGTAGATAATGCTTGAGTTTCTCCTCCATTTAGTGCTGAAATCACATAATTGCATATTAGTATATTTAAAATAGATTTTAAATGTCATTTGCTGATACTGTATCCATACTTGCATTTGGAAAAGTTTTTTTCAAAAGTCAGAAATTTCTTTTTGAAAGAAAGTAATGCTTTTATTAAGCAAGGGCACATTAAATTGATCAAAAGTGACAGGAAAGACTTTTTCATTGTTCCAAAAAAACGATTTCAAATTAATGCTGTACTTTTAAAATTTCTATTTATTTAAAAATCCTGAAAATTATCATGGTTTCCCACAAAATATTACGTAGCACAACGTTGTAAACATTAAAAATAATAAGAAATGTTACATGAACAACACCAATTTAAAGAATGATTTCTGAAGGATCGTGTGACAGTGAAGAATAAAAAGCCGAAAAGTCAGTTTTGCATCACTAAAATAAATAATAATTACAATACAAAAATATTGAAAGGTTTTTACATTTTTAAGAAGTTATTTTTAAAATTTAACTTACTGCTTAATTGTGTTTTTTAAAACAAAATAAATAAAAAAACTGGCACCATCCACATAAACCAAAGAATTTAAATAATTTAATAATAATTGCATTTAATTATGATATTATGATTAAAGAAAATTAACTAATATGATTTGTCATCTTTAAAAGTGTGTTTAATATTTTGTCTAATATAATGCGCACATGAAAATGTACTACATATTGACCCTACAAGTATAAAACATAATTTGACATATTCATTACATTGCATACAGATACATGAATTCTAAAAGAAAACATGTCATAAATACAATTTAGAATCATCATAAATCACAGTCAGCTTTCCCGACAGCTTAATATGAATATGTTGAATGCACCCTTGCGGTAAAGATTCGGCATGCACTTTACTCTTGTGATAGTGTTTTAGATTGTATTGCAGTTGTACAGACGGGCTGTGCACCTCCAAACCACAAGAGTGCATCTGTGGTTTGTCCCAGCTCTGCCTGCATTCAGGGCAGCAATAAAAGACAAACCGATCCAATGACTCCCTCAAGATATATCTAACCCGATTCTGCGTGTCTGTGTTCTCATCTGTCAACTTGACCCGACTGTGACTATTGAGTTTTATATAGCTCTCGTATGACTATAAATCTTGACTTCATCATGCCTGTAGACCTCAGGGTTTGTCTTTATCTGTCTATCCCCCCTTCCTTTCTCTCTTCAGGACAAAATATGAATGATTTAAGCGA